CACGTTAATACCTTACGGCTTCACTAACTTTACGATTATACGCCTTACTTTTTTGCATCACTTTTATAGCCCATACCTTTCCACCTTTCCCATTATTCTAACCTCTTTTAGCTTGCAAGTTGCATCTGAGAATTTAGACTCGAAAATATGTTTATGAGTTCCAATTTAACACATCATCTGCTTCCAGTTAGTTACACCCTTGAACGTGAGAGAAATGCTAAGATATCTTCCAGAGTCCTTTTCTCTATTTCCCTTCCCTTACCCAATTACTCGCTGAGGTTAGCACACGATATCGTCATGGTCAGAGAGTACTCATTCTGTCCCTTCGATCAATAAGGCCAAGCAAGGAAGCAGGTGAAGATGGATTTGATGTTGAGGATCCAGGGATGATAAAATTGCAGAGAGACAGCAGACAGATATGTAGAGGTCATCAACAAGGTGCTGGTTGGAGGGAAAGGGGAGTAAAGCAGGGCTGTATGGTGGATTGGTGTACTGGTGACCTGGAGGGAGGGTGATGGGGAACATGGTGGATAAAACAGGTCATGAGCCAACGCTGAAAAAGAAATTGAGGGTTGACGACACTCATGATCTATGGACTAACAGCCAGGGTGCTCACAAGTATTCTCAACCTATAGACCTGTGATGATTTCTTAACACAATATCTCATATGAGTCTCATCCACATTTCTAGCAGGCAAACAGTCGAATATGTTACCTTCATTCCTCGTAGTCACACGTTGCAATATTCCTATACGTTTCATTATAGATATTTCTTCAGCACTCAAAGATCTAACGGCAGCATTGCTGATATCCGTGTAACCATGTCACAAAGTGACAATTGATTACCAACACTGTGACTGAATGCTACCAACAAAAAACTGAAATGCTGACACAATAAAAGAACATCCATAAAGAGAGTTATATACTTATACAGCAATTATTGAAAAAGGAAGTGTGTGCAAACCTGGACTTTATCAGGAAATATCTGAAGAAGCACTTCAGAATATTCTTCTGTTAGTCTCCTTGCCCTATCAAGCGTAGCCTTCAGCCTCAGTGCCCATATATACTGCCCATCCTCACTGCCTAGCCATTCATAAACATAAGAAAGAAAATCATGCTTGTCCAAGTATAGAAACATGAATGAACAGGAATATAGTTGAAAATGATTACTCAGAAAATCTTAAAAAAAAGGTGTACCTTCTCTTTCCAAGAAACCTGTCTGTTGCCATGCAAGGAGCTCACTCACTATAGCAGAACACTCTTTAGATTTCCATCCTGAAAGCCCTATCTGGCGAATGCCAATGATAAGGGAATCAAGTGGATGGTTCCACGGGACAGCATTCTTTGAGTTTATATTCTCTACGAGCCAGGATGAGCCTCCCATAGTTTCAATGATATTAAATAATCTATTAAGAGCAACCAGAAAAAAGATAGGATCAATAAATAACAGAATTTCCTCTTCTTTTTTTTTTTTGCTTTCTTCTTCTTCTTCTTTTTTTGGGCCAAGGCCTCGACAGACTTACTTTATACGTCTAGCCCTAATACAATTACAAAGAACATAAGGTGGAAATAAATTACACATGTTTAAATAAGTAATCACCGGTCTATAAAATAAATATTGTGGAATTGAATGGAGGAAATATCATTCTTCTTTAATAGGTGAAAATAGTGTACAAATATTTGAAAAACCATGAATGATAAGCAAAATGCAGGCTTTATACTTTTGAAAACAAGCATCAAGTTTACGAAAAAAACAAAACAATAGGAGACAAAATGAGATTAATTGCATTGCCACGGGTCAAAGATAAGCAAAGATGGTGATAAAATGCATTGCCATGCCAAAGGATGTGGTGGTCTAAGATATACTCTTTTTATATTTATCAAATTAATAGGAAAAGAAATATGAAACAACTTGAAAACCAGAAAATATTTTAATACACAGATATTGGACATAGATTATAAGCTTATAACAAGACAAGATAATACCCTGCAGAGCAGCCTGACACAAAAAATAGAGCAAAGTAGGGAAAAGTTAGAATGAGAGGAAAAAAATACCTGCTTAAGAGAACAAATGAATAATCTTCAAGGCCAATCTCACAGAGGCGCCACTACAGAAAAATAATATCCTTTACTGTCATCTCCTACACCTAATAATCATAATTATTATTAAATAATTATCTATTTGAGAAAATCCGTGAATGAACCTTTTGACGCATAGCTATAGCAGCATCAGGGGCATCATTTCTAAGACCACTTTCAAGACCTTTGACAATTAGATATCTTAAATTGGTTAATGATTGCAGAGTGTTCATCAATATATCAACTCCACCGTTTTCAAGAAAGTTGCCTCTTTCCTCCAGCTTCTCTAGGCTCTGCATTCCAAAGTTAAATAACTTTCTGTGAAACACTAGATATAGCATCATCAATTCTAAAACATGAAATTGTCAAATTAAAGAGCAAAACATAAACCTTATCCTATAAAGAACAGAATAAAGAAATGCAAACAATTTCACCAGACAGACTTAAGATCCAATAAAGTTATAAAATATTCTCTTGAATTTCTTTAATATTGCTCCATATGGAAGAAGCAAGATAACAACTCTGGTACTTGTAGGACTAGATCTACAGGGATTTTGTTGCAAAATCTCTCATACTCTTAGAGGGGTTACACTAAGTTGTGAACACATTTGCATTCAACGATGGAAGGGCTATTACTAAATATAGAACCATGAATACACATATTGGGGTGGAAGATAGACCCGAAAACCGAACATGGGCAGAAATTATGGGGCGTAAATCAGTGTTGTCATTTACGATTTTAAAAAGAAATTAATTTTGAGTGTCTTGAAGATTTGGAATAGAATGTGATTTGCTTCCATTGCTGTGAGACCAACAAACCCTATGCCTTTGAGAGTGTTATTCCTTTTTCTTTCTTTCCTTCTTCTTGTTTAACCCCCTATCCTCCTTTCTTTTTTATTGGCTGCCCTCGTCCTACGTTACATGGACACTTCATATGGGCTCTCGTATCCCTATCCGACACTTCCCATATCTGTTTCTGTCTCCTTGGACACTTGTACTCAATTATATAGTATATGTTTTAGTTTAAAACACTTCTGATGCACTTCATGGACATATATCTTACACTTCACCTCACAGTTCAAATTCATTTTATCCTATAAGTATGATATAAATAAGTATGATTTTAAAGGGTTGTTTGGGTACCTAGTAAAAAACGAGCAGCTTTTAATTTTAATCTACTTAATAAAATAAACATAAACACTTTATAGAAATCAGTTCTCGTAACATGTAATTGAAAAAAAAAATCGATCTAATAGAAATTATTAATTTCAATATGTATATATAGCTGTCTCCCCATATCCTATCTTTTACAAATTTACCAATACCATGTCTCTCATCCGCACCTGTGTCCATGTTTGCATTTGCACCAACATAGCTCTTGTCCCTGAGTCTCTCATTTTCTTACTTCTTCCTCTTCAGCAGTCGTCTACCCTTTCCCACCTCATTTAATATTGGAGAAACTAAATCCATAGTTAGGTTTTGAATCCACCACTATCGTTCCATGACTAAGATATCCTTGACTCATAAACAAAAACATTGCTACAATCTTCAAATTTCAAGTTATGGTCTTGTTATGGGATTTAATGATCCATATGAATATGGAAGTTAGATGGAAGTTCCAAAAGATTATTATCATACTTTGACATGCCAGACATGCAAATGCATCTACATGCACAATGTAGGCTAAAAGGGGAAGCTTATGTTCAGTGGTATAGAAATTACTAAGCACTTCTTCAGGGATACTTTCATGGACACATACAAAGGCCCTTCTTATAGAAAAGTACTCTTATGATCTTATCATCGCCTCAACACATAACTTATGTTACTTAATGACCAGTATATCAATATGTAATTAATATTTTCTAAATATTGCTTGGCTTTAAGATTTTTAGTACTTCGAAGAATTTGAGAATCCTAACGTTCTATTATTATTTATTACTATACAGATATTATCCAAAACTCCCAGGAGCTAGGCAGTCCAAACACCTGCCAAATGGGGCCACCATTTAGAACCTTGCCTATAAACAGAATTTAGAGATAAGACAAATTACCTTCTTGCATTCCAGAAACAGAGAAAGAACTTGTAAGGCTTGCTCAGCCAAAGATTCTTTGATGGACTCCAGCTGTTCAGTAAGACTGCAATAGAATGAATGAAAAGTCAGGAGTTCATCTGCCTTTTGTTCCAACAATATGTAAAGTCATAATTTTACCAGTTATATTTGTCAATAAGTAGTTCTCAAATTATTTAGGAAAAGAACATATATATTTCAAAAAGACTTGAAATTAGTATGTACATAATTAAATAACCAATTTAAGGACTAAAAACTTTAGACAGACTAAGACTTATAAGCAGAGGTAAGGTGCTGTAGATAAAACAGCACTCAACAAGCAGAAGCAACTTGAGATGCAATCCACTGAATTTCAACAGTTCATCACATTAGCAAATAACTAAATGCAGCAACACCAGAAAGACATAATGATACAATGACACATACCTCCCAGCATTGAAGAAGTCCTTTAGTTCGTGATAAAATATCTTGAACTGCTCAATAAATGCTTCACTGTATTGACCAGGGGTCTTTGTAATCTTAGCCAGCATTGCTTCTGTAGCTATCAAATCTTCTGGACCAGCATTGCGGTGAAGCTTATTTTGAATTGTATGTTTAATTTCTTGCTGTAACAGAAATGCTGTAAAAAGTATTAAAATCTGAGATAATATAAGACAGATTAGACAATTAAAGATTGACCTTCAGATCATGAGGAATATCTCCACGGTGAGCAATATCTCGTATCCTTGTTAGAGGAACTGAAGCAGTAAACTCCGATTTAAATGAAGGCAAACACAGGTGAATTTTGCGGATCACAAGTGTGTCCTGTAAGTATAAAACTACTAAAATCAGTCCTAAAACTCAGAAGGAAATAGACGTTAAGGAAGGAAATGATAAGAGTGCACAACAGATTTACATATAAAGAATTCAAAGTTGTTCCTTCTGGCAAAAAACTATAAACCAAAGAGACCCTTTTTTCATAAAGTAGAGTCCAGCATATTCGTTCTCAGACAATCTATGATAGCAAGATGCCTAGTGAATGCGCATGGAGATAAAAACAAATACAAAACAGAAATCTACAAGTCATAATCATCTCAATGCAGGATTTCAGAAACTAATAACAGCCTACATTTTAAACAAAGAAATAGAAATTTTTAGTAGTGCATTTTTTTCCAAATATAAATATGTGGTCAACTTCATATTTGCAGTTACTAATTCACTCCCTTTAAGAGCAAGTATTTCCTTAAAGGGAACGAGTGGAAGGGCCTACTGAAAACATAGCGAGAGAAACTCCTATAATTATATGAATTCATCATTCATTAAGGTTAAAAAATGAAGTAGTTAATTGTCAATGATATACGATAAGAGTTTTATCGAATATACATTTAGATAATATCCAGCGCTTTTCAGAATCAGATTGTTCATATATTCATTCATTCAGGTGAAAGGAAAAAAAAAATTAGTTAACTGTCTATGATATAAGAAGAGTTTTATGTAATATATACTTAGGGATATCCAGTGATTTTCAGAATCAGATTGTTCATATAATCAATTTTGAAGCGAAGAGAAACTTCTATCTGATTATATTGAAGAAAAATTAGTAAAAGGTTACCTAGATCTCAAGTGACTATTCATGGGGACTAGCAAGGTATGATGCCAGAATAAGTAGTAGATGTGGACTATAAATAATATAGACTGACAGAAGTGGCACTTATGTGAACTCAAAACAACCAAGAACAGTAAATGGTTAAAGAGAAACATGGAATCATTTACATGGTTAAGGAGCATTTACTGATACTAAGCTCACATAAGAATATAATCGGTTAGTACTCTCCACAAAAAATTACTAACCGATGGCGTTGCATTTTTCCCATATGACATCCTTTCAATCTCACGAAATATGGACCTAGAAATCTCAGCATGTCTGTTGGGGCGGTGATGTCCTCCATCTTCAAAGCACGGAATCTGGCCAGTGTTGATCCACTGCCCATAATATAATTTGAGTTTTGAAGCAATTCATTAAAAGAAACAAACAGAACAATCAGCCTCAGACCATTATTCCAATATAAATAAAAAACTTGTGCTCTAATGTAAGCAAAGTTACTATAGAGAACCTTCAGGTAGATAGCAGAGTATATTAAGGCCTCCAAGCGATTCCTAACTGCAAGATCTCCTGTCAAAAGCTCCCGAATAACATCAAGCTGCAAAGAGAAGGAAGGTCAAGTCAGATATAGAATGCAATTACAAGTACACAATTTTATTAACGCTAAAAGAGCTTCACCACAATTGAGATCATACTATATTCCAATGTAACTTTCAAAATCTGCACTATTTTTTCTCTAGAAGTGATAGTCCCATAGGATTTTTGAGTCCCTTTTGTGCATACTCTTATTGGGAAAGAATTCTGCATCGACTTAAAGTATTGAAGTAATGCTGAGATGCAGCAAAATTCACAGATGCGAATCGAACCATCTGCTACATAGGCAATCCCATGTTGATGGAAAAAGACTAAGATTGTGTGATAACTGGTAGTTAGAAAATCTAGGAACTAGATTTTGCTTCTTAATACATATTCTTTCATTGAGAACTAGGGGTTTATGGCTGTCAAAAATACAAATAACCACAAAGCTAATGTTGCTTGGCTGAAAGACTCCAGAATAAAGGAACAATTTACAGAACGAAGTGTTGAAATAAAATGCATTGACCAATGAACTCGTATCTGAACAGTTCTTTTTTAATAAGGGAGCGGAGTTGTCAGGCATTTCATAGGAGCTCTTCTTATGTCAAAGTGAAGTTGTAAGGAACTCCCAAATGCTTTACGCTCGAGGACGGATCACATCACCACACTTACAAAATCATTGTGCTCCCACGTCGATTTATTTTTCTTATTTGTTGTCAAAAATACTTTTTATTTTTCAAACAGGATTTTTTACAAATCTTTTAGATAAGGCTGTGCCTTGTGCTGTTTAGAACTTTAGATACAGAGATGTATGTCACATATAAAGTTGGGCTCACGCAATACATGTTCTGAATCTTGAAATTATATCATGCCTTGTGGGTCCAATTTATAAATAGACACGGGCAGGTGGTCCCTCCATGAACTTAGTGTGTCGCTTACAAAGCGCAGATCCAGACCCCAGCCACAATCCTGTTTATCAACACATCCTGATTATAGCAGAGGTCTAGATGTCCATGCTAGCAACATACTAGCTAAGTGCGTGAAGGGACCCATCAACACCCGCTTATTATATATATCGAAAAACATGGGTTTGAATTGATAATCATTTTGCTAAATTAGCTAACAAGAGATAGACAAGTGGTGAGACTCATCCTACTTATCACACAGAAACGTGTGGACTTCATCGCTTATATCTTGGTAACTCATTTTGCTAAATGAGTTGTTACCTCATAACCATCAACACCTTACATGCATTTATGTAAGTACATGAAATAATGTGTATACACAACCAGTTCATTTTGCTCGGCTCATTTTGATAATGAGTTGCCAAGAGAGGATGTAGTGGTGAAGCACCCTACTAGTCATCTTGAAAGAGAGAGTGTCACCCGTCACCACTCATTTTCTTGGAAACTCATTTAGCTACTAGCCTATATCTACCAAGGCATAGAGATTATGCAACTATCGAAAGTATGATGGACATGCCTTTTCTTGAGTTTTGTAACATTTAAGCATTAGAGCTCCCTTTATTTTTACTTGTGCTGCTCTTAACCAGCAATACATAATTTTTTTTGCTACCCAAGATCGAATATGAGTGGCTTAGATTTCAACCAACCACATCAATTAAATTCTGTCAATTTTTTCCCTAGCTACCAAATACCCTAATCACTCTCACCCACCCTGACTACCCCCCAACCTTTGCTCCCTTCTCCCTCCAAATCCATCCCACCTCCACTCTAATCCTACTCCATGCAAACCACAATTGAGATGGGGAACGAGGGTGGGTGATACAGAAAAGAATGGAAGGAGGGTGGGTGGAAATGGAATGGAGAAAGGAGGGAGGAGATGCGGATGAGAGAGAGAGAGAGGAGGGTAGACGGAGGAGGAATGAGGATGGATGGAGGAGAAGGAAAGCGGAGGTGGGACGGAAAAGGCGGAGGTGGGATGGAAAAGGAGGAGGGGGGGATGAGGAAGGACAAGGAAGATGGACGTCAGGTGGGGGTATTTTGGGTAGATCGAGTGAATATTGAACATAAATTGCCTAAAAGTGGTTGATTGAAAGCTAAACACGCTTATAAATTAATGTTTGTATTACAAAAACTTTGAAGGTTATCCCTATCAATTTATCATATTTCAAAGTGATTTTTTTTTAAAAAATGTAGAAGGTTGGGAAAGGACTGATCTACATTGAGAAAAAGCCGCAGAAGATCAAAACAATTGATTTCTTTGTAAGAAAAAGATAGAGATTGACGAGATGACTAATGTGACAGTTGGTTTTTCTCTCATGTGACGGTCATGAAGATCATTTCACAAAGAGATAAACAAGTTCTTCTTTAAGCTCTCCACATGACCATTATATATGAAAACACTATACTTTGCTCTTTCCTCTTCTGAACTACTTTAAAGTAGTAGTAGCTATGAAAGTAGTAGCTATAAAAGTAAGTTACTTTCTCTAAAAAAATTACTCAAGTAGTAGCTATGAAAGTTACTTTCTTTAAAAATTTACTTAATTCTCTAGTATTTAAGTTCTTAATCTTTATTGTTCTTAAGTTTTATATACAATTTACAAGTTGAAATTCCTAAAGATAGCGATTGGAGAAATCACTACAGCCTACGAGCTTCTAAGCTATGTCTGACCCTAAGAGAGCTACAGTAAGGACCTAATTTTTTCGTTAATCGTTTGTGATTTCATGTTAAGTAACATTTTTAAATTTTGTTCAACACGAGTTCCATTAATAGCTTTAGCTTTATTTATCTAGTTACATTGTTTTTATTCGCCATGTATAGGTTGCTATTTGACTCTTGTTGCTCGAGCATGTGTAGAAGCTATATGTTGCATACAAAGAGGGACACCTTTGCTACAATTTATCTTCCCAAAAGCTAATTGACTGCATGATATCGCGTTTCAATGCTCTTCCTAGAGGTTACAACAATATGAGATGCTATTTATCTACCTTGTAGCAGACTTTGACTTTGTTCGTGAGAGGCATACCATATGGAAAGGACTATCCATTCAAAAAGAAGAAGGAAGGTTGTATTCCTTGTGATTAGAAACTAATATTGTTTTAAAGCTTTTTCTTATAAAGTTATTGTATAGGAACCACCTTTCAATATCAATTTTATATATGAACCACCTTCAACGTGGGTTTATGTTGCAATCAACTACCTTCCAATCAAATTTTCCCTAAAAGCCTAAAAATAACCTTAAGAATTTGCATTCAATGTACATGACTTGTATCCTAACTATATCCAAACATTAACAAAATGAGTCATGTGCCCTACATGTCAGTTTTTTACGAATATTTTTGGATTTTCAGCAAAAAATTTGACTGGAAGGTGCTTGATTGCAATACAAACTCACTTTAAAGATGGTTTATGTATAAATTGACATTCAAGGGTAGTTTCTGTATAATAACCCAATTTTAACATGGTTTCTAGCACAAAACCCCATATTTTTATCCGTTACTTCCTCTTAACAATTTTAAAACTTCAATTTTTTCTACTTTTAGTATACAAGACTTTTAGCATCAGTGACCATGAGCTTATAGAAGACAGAAATGAAGATATGCTCGAACTTTATGAGAGAAAGCATCCTGTTGCTGCAACAATCTATGCTAGTTTTGAGTTCATCAATCTCAAGAAGGTAAGCTCAAATACGTTTTCAATAGTTTAAACATGATTGAAGTTGGACGGCGACGCTAAGAATTTTGGTTAAAGAGTATTTTCATGAAAACCACGTTTAAAATAGGGCAAATTGATAGGAATTGCCTTAAAAAAATTTATATAGAACAATGGATTTAACTTTCAATCAACCACTTCAGGACAAGTTCTGTTCAATTTTTAACCTAAACCTATGTTACCTGGGTACTTCTATCATGAAGTCGTACCCATACCGAACATGTATCTGACACGTACCCGTACCCAAACTTCATGGACGCTCATTGGATATATGCATATACTTTTTCAGACATGTACTTAATTATATGATATATGTTTTAATTTAAAACACTTGTCATACACTTCTTGGATGCATATCCAACACTTCACATTCATTTCTTTGAACTCCTTAGACATGGGTCGGGTTCGTTTCAACTCATATCCAAGTTCAAAACTATAATTTCAAAGGATCTTTTGGGTGTCTAGTTAAAAAACAAGTAGTGTCCATTTATAATAATTAACATAATAAAAAAAACTTTAAAATGTGCTAGGAATTTTTGTTGTAATAAAACAACAATTAAAAAACAATAATAATCTCATCTAAATTATTAATTTTAATGTGTGTCCCGTACCCAATGTTACATTAAACGTTGGGCGCTCCTGGGCGCTGGACTTGGCGCCCAGCGCTTAGACGTCTAGGCGGGCGCCTAAGCGGTTTCTGGGCGGTTTTTTTCTTCTGGGCGGTTTTTTTTTTTAATTGTGATACTTGAAGATAAATATATATACTCAATCAACAATACATAAATACAAAAATACCAACACAACACATATGCTATCCAAAGTATAATAGTCAATCAAAGATGCATACATACTAAATGACAAGGCATATAATATCCAATAACTAGAAGTTTATTATCCTCACAAGTAATAAGAATCTATCAAACCTGAACCAATCAACACAGATTTTTCCTTTTTAAGACTTGAACCCAATAAAAATTATCAACACAGTTACACAAGCCTACAACATCAAATTAATGAGAACCCAAAACTTGAAGACGAGCTCGGAATAAAAAAAAGGAAATTGAAATCGAAATAAAAAGGATTAGGGTTTTACGAAGCGAACTGTCAGCTAAAGACGAAGACGAAGACGAACTGTCGAAGACGAAGACGAAGACGAAGACGAGCTCGGCAGGTGAGATCGAAGACGAACTCGGTCGGAAGTCGTCGACGTCGAGTCGAAGACGAGTCGAAGACGAGTCGAAGACGAAGACGAGTCGAAGACGAGTCCGAAGTCGGTTGGAGACGAAGGTGAGATCGAAGATTAGGGTTTTTATTTTTGAGTTTGGGTTTTGGGTATTGGGTATCGGGTTTTGGGTTTTGGGTTAGGCTTTTTTTTTTAGGTTCGGGTTTTTGGGAGCGCCCAGCTCAAAATTTGGTTCGGGAAAAGTGGGGCGGGCCGCTTAAGCGGCCCGCTTATCCCTGGGCGGCCGCCTAGGCGCTCCCAGCGCCTAGACGTGGCCGCTCAGGGCTAGGCGACACGCTCTGGGCACCGCCTCCGCCTCAACACTGCCCGTACCCTACAGTTTACAAACTTATATTGTCCCGCACCCATACTAGTACTTGTACTTGTTTACATGCCACTTAGACCCTAACTACCGAACACCAATATACCATCCTCCATTCTCCCTCCACATCCACTCCAACTACCTACAACCCACATCCGCCCTCCTCCCTTCTTCCTCCTACTCTAGCTTTCCTCCGCCCTTGTCCTCCTCTGTGTCAACCACAATTAAGATGGGGGAGGAGGATGGAGGGTAAGGTGAGACAAATGAGAAAGAAAGAAGAATAAGTGGAAGAGGAGGGAGGAGGTACAAGTGGAATGGAAGAGGGAGTACATGCAGTGGAAGGGAGGAGCGAAGATGGAGGAGGAATGAGCGAGAAGGAATGCAGAGATGGGATAAAAGAGGACAGAGATGGGACGAAAGAGCAGGACAGAGGTGGGGTGAATGAGGAGGGAGGAAGGGAGGAGGGTGGAGGAGGGATAAGGTTATTATGGTTAGTTTGGGCAAATATTAAACGAAAATTGCCTTAAAGTGGTTGATTAAAAAGCTAAACCCACTTATTATCACCTTGTTCGATACGCGAGAATGGGTAGGAATGGAATGCCAATTCGTACATCTCGGCTCTCATTCCTTCGTATCAAACACGACGTGTTTTTGGAAGCTAGAAAGCTCATTCCCAGTTCTCATCAATTCCCACTTAAGTGTGAGTGGCGATTCCTAATGAGATGCTTAGGATTGGGCATTCCCACTTAAGCAGGAATTTAAAAAATACATATTTTCTAATTATACTCATTCCTATTTCATTTTCTAATTGCACCAAAACATGTTCCGTGTTAATTCTGTTCATTGTTTCACTCCAGTCTCACTTCACCCGGTTCCTGCTTACAAAACAAGTGGTTTCCGAACAAAAACAACTTTAAAGGTGGCTCCTATCAGTTTACCTTATTTTAAATGTCATTATAATGAAAACCCCCTCTGTTTGAACTCCACTTACTCCTATAATAGTCTTAATGTTCCGGCTTTCAATAGAGATTGATCAGCCCCGTTAACGCTTTAACACAAGATCTATCTTTTCGGGAAGCAATCCTGCTCCAAAGTTAATCTAAATGCATAAGCATTCCACCAAGCAGAAGTTGACAAATGTACCTTTCGCCACCAATTCCTCGCATCGCGGTCGATCGCCCTCAACCAGCCTCAACGGCACTCCGTCAAGCCCATCGGTGTCCCACCTCCTCCCGCTCTCCCTACTCCCATGCTCATTCGACCTGCGATCGAATGAAATGACATATCCTTCCGCCTGCCATCTGCTCACGAGAGGGACTCGGACTCCCCTTCAACAGAACGACCTCCCGCCCTCAACGCCCCTCCTGCAACGCTCATCCTCGACCCCGCCCACCGCCGAGGAAGCTCCCCGATCCTCATCGGTCTGTTCCAATGGCACCACTCAGATCGGAGCACCCCTCCCCGGTCAGGAACTTTCAGGAACCCTATTCCCCCCACCCTCCCACGCGCAGACCCTTTCCCTCCCCGCCCGAAACCCACCAACGCACTTTGAAGTTCAGGGTTTCCCCTCCGCGGATCTCGAACCTCGCCCAGATCCACACCCTCGCTCCGTCCACTCCATAGGGACCCCCTCCGTCCAGAATCGAGCGTCCTTCCGTCCGAGCGAGGAGGCCAGCTCTCCCGAACGCCAAGCCTGGTGGTCGAGGCGGACGGGGTATGGCAGGCCTTCCGCCGCCGCCGCCGCCGCCGCGCTTCGGCTTCTCCAGAGGGGCGGTGCGCGGTGCTGCGCTGCGGCAGCGAGGGGAGGCCGACGGAGGGGGGCAGCGGCGCGGCTAGTTGGACGGAGTGGGGGAGGGGAGGGGGAGGGGAGAGGGGAGTGCAGGGGAGGGAGGTTCGGGGACAGCGGAGAGAGGGGGACGAAGGGGCGGAGAGAGGAACCATGGAGGAATCGGATGAGGGAGAGGGGGGTGGGTTTAAAAAAGGGAGGAAGAGTGCGGAGGGTGCGGGCGTGCCGGTGCGGGAGCGCTACGCCACGTGTGGCGGAGCGGAGGGGCGGAGCAGTATTCAAGGAGAGGAGGGAGGGGGATGGGATGAGGAGTAATCACGTGGCGGAGGAGAGGAAGGGGGAGCATTATTCATTTAATTAAAACTAGTATTATGTTCATTAAGAGGGATTAAGAAGAAGGGTCGGAGGTTAAACTCACTAGCGTGAAGAAGGAGCTGTTGGATTAGATTTATTTTTAATTTTTTTATTTTTTTTATTTTTTTATTTTTTACTTTCTAGTGTTTGAGGATAGAAAGGGGCCGCTAATATTTTCCTAGTAAAATTTCTTAGCTTGTTTGTGTAGACAGGTTAGTAAACTCGTCATTTTGAGATCATCTAGAAAGAGCATCTTTAACTTTTTTTTTATAACATTTATATTTGTTGGATTAATAGGGGTTAACCCATTGTAAATATTTTGTGCTTCACATGTCAAAACCAACTTAGAACGAAAATCTAAAATTTTAGAATTGATAGAGGTAGGAATATAAATCTAAAGAATTTGAGAGTTATTATATTCAACATAAAATTAAAAGGCATACAACAATGTTGTATACACCAGAACATAATGGTTGTTGCTGAAAGAAAGAACATAATGGTATCTCAGGTTTCATGATGCAATCGCCAAACTTGATTTAGTTCAAAATAAATTAGATAATTGTGTATATGTCTTGAAACTTTAGAGCAAGTTTACTATATTACCCTAGTATGTGGATGATATATTGCTCGCCGAAAATAACATGAAAATATTAAACAAAAACAAGGTAGATCTCAGCGAAAAGTTTGAGATGAAAGACATGGGTGATGCATCATGTATTCTTAGAATTCAAATAATTTGAGATAGAAAGTCTAGAATGTTAAGTTTAAACCAAGAAAAATATTTAATATCAGTTCTTAAATTGTTTGAAATGTAGAATTTCAATTAGGCACTAACTTCATTGGTCATGGGAAAGAGATTGTGTAAAGAGTAAAACCCTGGAGAAGTGCAAAATCTGTTAGATATTCCTTATGCTCAAGTAGTTGGAAGTTTAATGTATACAATGTTCTGCATCAGACCTGATTTAGCTTATGTTGTAAGTCTGATTTTCTGATATCAAAGTAATCCAGGATCAACACACTGAGAAGCTGTTAAAAGGATTATGAAGTATATCAAAGGCACATTGACTTACAGATATGGTTTATCAATCCAGTTCGCTTGATCTCCTCGATTTCTCTGATACTAACTTTAGAGGTGATAAAGATGATGGAAAGTCCACTTTTTGGGGAACTTGTTTCTCTTTGGAGGAGGAGTTGTTTCTTGAAGTAGCAAGAAATAGGTATGTGTTGCTAGATACACACAAGAAGCGGAATATGTAGCTTGCAGTATGACAACTACATATGTTGTCTAGATAAGACGATTTTTATTGATCTAGATCTCAATTGGTTAGAAGGACATGTTGATATACATATGTTGTCTAGATAAGACGATTTTTATTGATCTAGATCTCAATTGGTTAGAAGGACATGTTGATATTTGTTGTGATAATCAAGTAGCGATTAGCCTAATTAATAGTAGTGTGAATAGCTCCAAGGGAAAATATATTGAGATTTAATATCACTATATTCAAGTTATTGTAGGAAAGGGAGAAGTTAACGTGACTTACATCCTTACTACAAATATGATTGTTGATCCTTCAATAAAAGGAATACCAGTAGAATTTTTATAAAACATATGAGCTCATGAATAGTGAGAGACATGTCACTTGGTTAATTTGGCCAAAGGATGTAACTTGACTCGGTCCATATTTGACCATGTCACCCAAGTTAGTCTCAACAACTAAGATATTTGTGGGATTGAGATAGTGGGGTTAATAGTTAGAAGAATATGAAGAGAATATATGGAGCGGTTCCTAAGGGAGTAGCCTCTATATAAAAAGTAAAAACGTCTAACACACATGAAAAAAAGCTCACGGGAGCCCCCTTAAAATTTCATACTTCTCTCTGTCTCTTCGTACCTCAGCATGAGTAAATGTCAAAAGAGGCGAAAAGCATGTTTTTTTTAA